GGTACAACTCCTTCAACACAACGTCTTAGAAGAGAGCGTCAAACGTAAGTAGGTACTTACTTTATTTAAGATGTGCAAAATTTCCTCTCGAATGATTTCGGCATCTTTCAAAACTTGATCGGATGCAAGTTTATTTTTGTCTTCTTTAGGGGCTTCGAAAATGTTAGGATTACTGGGGCCCTTCGAAAAGATAGCTCGTTATTTCGCTGAGGAAAGCATGGATGGGTAGTCACCTGTAAAACTCTGTGAAGTCCAATCACGAATTCGAGCCGTCGCGACCATGGATTAATGAAACACGACCACTCCGTTTCTATCATTACGAAATCTCCATTTTGAACGGCGAAACGATAGGGTTTGCTGCGATAAACCGATCCTGCTATTTGACATTTTACCATTACTGCAAACGCCAGAGTATAGAGGGGGTAAGTATATTAAACAATAGTCTTACCTGACTCATATACTTCCTTCATAAATGGGAGATCTTCTGGATGATAAAAATCAAAGACTGATTTTCCTAACATTTGCTGTGGGAGGTACCCAAAGTTCATGACAACGTCAGCATCCACCTGATTAAAAATGCAGGCCGATGTATGCCGCATACCAAATATGCTCGACTTTTTTACTTCGTCTGGTACTAAAATGGCATATATGGTAAATTGAACTTGAGCTCTTAACTTCACTTACATGCATAGTTTGAATAAACCGGCACGGCAACAATTATTAGAAATGTGTCCTCACCGTTAGGTAAGGGAATTTTGTTAATATTAGGGGTCGTATATTTTAATTTTACAGATAAATGGAAAGCTTGGTAGGAAACTGCTCTCTCTACAACACTGTACCCAGATGTCTTTAATCCGCGATACTCTCTCAAGCACACGTAGAAAGAAGCGTGAATATCTAAACGAGAAATGTTAATATTTTGGTACAGAAATGATTTTGCTTAACCTTTTCTTTTGTCAGTTCCTTCCACTATAGGTATCGCGATTTCATTTGTAATCTCATTACAAAACGTTTCTCTATCTTTGGGATGAAGAAAATCACTAAATGACCTCCCCAGCCACATATTTTTGGGAAATCCCAATAACGGCGTTAGGCTTGGTGACGTATATAACACTATGCCATCATACATGGAAATGACACAGCAAAATCCATTCTGAATAATAGAAAAGGTCATTTTCGATAGCGCTAATTTTGTCTGTTACCTTTGGTTCGATTACTTTGGTATTTGGCGTCAGATTGTCAGGAAGTACATGTTCAGATTGCTTTACGTTGCTATCTGAAATGTTATCTGTGCCCATTTCGTTGGTTTTGGGACTGACGATATCAATTATGTCTATTTTTGAAAAGAGCTCTGCAATTTGTGACAGTGTTATCATTGACCAGCAAGTTAAGCGATGGAATCAGGCATTACAATATTATACGTCAATTTACCTAAATGTAAGCTGTCCGGGTTAGTGATGAGACCATTTGTATGTTGATTAAAATCTGAAGGCGCCACGTGCATTTGACTCATGTTTGTAGACTCAGACTTACTTTTCTTATTTTCTTTGTCTTTGTTACGTTTAGTTAAAGCCGGTAGGTTATTGTCAACGCTAAAAAAGGACACGTAATAACAATTTCCGATGCTGTTAGATGTTACGTACTTCTCTGCATTGACCACTCCACCATATCCGCTACTGCAATTACTACCACTCAAGAGACTCTTCGAACTGGCGCTAAAAAATCAGTCCTAATCATTTTTACATAAACAAAGGATAGTACCTGCCATGTGAATTACTTTTACAAAAGCTAGTAGAATACGCCGAATCGGATATTTTAGTTTTTCTCGTCTCGGAATCGTACTCCATTTTGAACCTGAAGCAAAGATTTTTTGTTAAATTTACAAATTTGCCGGTATAGGAAATTTTATCCGTGTACATCTTCATAAAAAATCAGAATAGAGATAAGATGCGAGAAAATAAAGCGCGTTAAGATAAGAAACGAGTGTTCAAGCGGATAAGAGTCGAAAAACGCTACAGTGTTGCCGGTTTTAAAAATCGTCGTGACGGAGAATGAGGGACGGTGTTATTGCTATACCTTCACGTGCATAAAATATTGTGAATATTGTGCAATGTGTAGACCATTTGATATCGCGTAAAATTTTATTGTTAATTAAAACTTCAAACACCGAACACCGTATAACTGCAATGTATATATAAGAATCGTTAGCAACGCACTCGAAAATAAAGCCACCATTTTCGACAAATTTATTTTCGTGGGTACTTTATCCGTTCAGTGTAAGCTGCGTTTTCGAGTGCTCTCATTTAAATAAATGGTTACCACGAAAGCGTTGAGGTCCAAGGTGCGAAACGTTTCATTGTGCTATATTTGAAGTGGCTAGTTACGTTAAAATACAAGTTTATTAGTAAAAACTAGACACATCCCTTGTGTATACGGGGTGTTATTAGATTTACAAACGGAAACCGGTGAAAAGGTTCGAGGCGATTAACTGTTTTTGTTGGCCATCAAAACCCTAAGTTGTAAGGGGACGTTTCTATACTGCGGAACATTGGTAACTATTCCAGTAAATAAATCAAATTTCAACTATAAATTGCGAGAAACTTGAAGCACGGTTTGATCCGGATTCAAATTCGTCAACCATCTTTCGAAATTCACTTTCAACGAGTAACCAAATTTTTACCTGACGATACAAAAAGTCCGGTTGTATTGTACAAGGCGTTCCACCCTCCAGTTTTCGAAATTGCTGCTACACTTCCAAAGGAGAAAATCAGCTGTCAATGGGCGAATATTTCCACTCATCGATAAATGTAAGTTAATAAAAATGTTTGCATTGTGTAACCATATGAGCTGATTGTTTGGGGATTTTGTCTGAAAGATTTATGTTTAAAGTCATTCTAACATTCCTGAAGAGGTCGACTAGCAGGAATTTATCCCGTGAGCAAATTCATCAAAACTTTACTCCAAAAAGAGAGGTTCAACTCCTCTTATAGGTACTCGACTTGTATGTAAAAAAGAGTCTGCTGCTGCTGCTGAATTAATAATAATTTATTGGGCTCATTTAATTGATATATTGTATGACCTCGTCGTGGTAGGGTTATACATAGGTACATAATGATGCATTTGAATGCGTGCAGTCGTAATTCTTTAGTGCGATTATTCCATTTATTGTAGACCGTGACATTCAGAATTATTCGAAAAACTCGCAAATCGGCAGCATCAAGTATTGATTTTTTTTTTTATGATTTTGGTGAAAACATTTGCCTCTTTCAGAAGCATGTAAGAACGCGTATCACATATCTAGTGCCAGACAAGTTTTAAAACAGTGACAATGGAATATTTTTGGATCCCCTATACCAACCATTTCCTTTTCGCCTCCCGCGTTAAATGTAAATGTAACCGAATTACACAACGAGTTTAATTGATTAGGTATATTTCTAGTGTATCTATTTCCGTACGGATTACACCATCACGTTTCTGGAAATGGAAGTGTGCATTTTATGTGACACGTTACTTTGAAACCTTTTGAGTCGTGTAATTTAGAAATACGTAACACAAATTAATTCGCTTTTATTTGCGGTGCTGCTTTGTTCATTGTATGTAAAATTGGAGTTTTCGTCACGTTTTCCATGTTCATACATCGAGAAAAACGTATGTATGAAACCAATGGGCATGGCTTCTTTTTAATGATAAAACGGAAATAGGGTCTGTCCATCTAAATCTAGGTTGGCACCTTTACTTTCACGTGTTACAGTCAGCTCCTCGAGATTGTTACCACGATTTTACTGTTATCGATTTCACTCCATTTCTTCTCTTCCTCGAACACCCCTAAATTTGAGATTAGATATCAAATAAACTCGTCAATAGGAGTTTGGGATATTTACGGTTGAGATGAAGGTACAGTGTGTAGAATAATGAGAAATGCCTTAACTGACAACAATATGTTCCATTGAAGACAATAATCCATTCTTCGACATATTCCCCATAACAAATGTTGAAAGGGCGAAACGAACGCGTAGACAGAGCGAAACTGCAATCATCAGCAAACTTTCGCTGGTCGCTGATAAAGACAGCTCTGCTTCTGAAACGTGTGGCTTTTATAATGAAAATAGATTAATGCAAGTTTGAAAGAACAGATTGAGTTATAAGAATTTTATAATTTCGACGACTATTTTTCCAGTTTATTTCTTCAAAATCTTAAGGTTCGAAACCACAAGTCAAGTTTCTATCCCATTCCCCCTACTTTTACCAAACAAAAATCCGCGAGGGCATTTAAATCTTCAAAAAACCAAACAATTTCAAACGTAACGAGGGATGTACACTTTCTCCGCTCTGGAAAACTGTTATCCCATTGATTGACGTGTCACTGTCCAATTTCTCCTGATGGAAAAGGTTTAGCTTTCTCTTTTTAAGTGTTCCAACGTGTGCTGTTTAGTGGAGTAGTGCGTGTTACTCCCGTTGTCTCATTGATAAGGGTTTGATATATCTATTTTATTTTTATTTTTGATCGTTATTCTTGTTCTGATTCTGATGAAGTTCCTTACAAAAGTGACCAAAACGTTGATTCTTCGTCCTACATTGACACGGTCCTATTCCGGAAGTCGCTTGCATGTTAACTCTCCAGAAGTGTCACTAAATGTCTACACAAACATGCTTACTAATTAATTAGTGATTACCATACCACATTTATTAAAGATATTCGAAGTTCAATAGGTGAGAAGAGGTTAGATTCGCTCATGTTATTAAAAACATACGGAGATGTTGCAGATACAATTCCTATTAACAATCTAGTGAACTTGCGCCAACCAAGTTATAAACTAGATGATTAACCGTCAAGACTAATTCTTCAACTTGTAGATTTTTTATTTTTTATTTTGCATTTTTGAGTGGTTGGGGTTTCAACCAAGGCTGCTCTACCAACCTAACCCACTATACATTTACAAATATCCATGCTCGAACCCGGATCCGAACAAGGGACCCTTAGCACCACAGTTCAGCTTTAACTGAACACTTAGCTGCGGAGGCAGAGGCTTAGAAGGCTTCTATATGGGTAAATATTGGGACGAGTGGAGGGGTCGATGCAGTCTTGGACACGGGCAGTTCTGGGAGGAAAGCCTCAGAACTGATACCCACCTCATAAGAAGGTACGTGATTCGGACTGTCTCACTGAGACCGAATAAGGTCACTCTTCAGGGCAGGGATTTATGTATTTATGGCGACCATATTCTTTCAAATTTTGAAGGCGCCTGGCAAAGTGTAAGGCCCCACTAAATGATCTGGCTTATTGATTTTCTCTCTCTTTAAATATTAAATTTAAAGGTAATAAAAATTTCAAAAAGCTTCAAGAACATTTTTTGAAAAATAAAATTCGTATCTTTAAAAATATAATGGTTGATTTAGCCCCGCTATTCGTCAGCCAGGTCTGTCATTCTGTATTTGAGCATTATTGGAAAAGTATTGGTTTTCAGCGTGCCTCAAATACCTACCACCAGCTTTCCTACTATTAGGCTAAACAGGGTCCTAATATCCTTTATTGAGGGGGCTCTGAACCTAGTTGCAAAAGAAAGGGCTGACTGGTCGGGCTCCTCTTATGAATAGAATAGCGAACCCATAAAATTGCAATGGCATTGCTTGTCAATCCTATCGGTACCAAAATCGAAACACAGTGAACAAATTTGATATTTGATTATTGTGCGACCTTCGTCTACCTCTAATTAAACTGCGAGGGGTGCGACGCAAACTTGACGGCTCCAGATAGTTTTCTGGATGGTAAAAATGTTTCTTCACTGAAATTAAGTGTTTATGTGTTTATAATTCAAAATATGAAATCCTTTTATATAAAAAAAACTAATATAAATCTCATCTCATCACGGGGTTTTAAAACATAGTAAATGTCGTCAAAATAATTACAATATTTATATATATACGTCCCAATTCACAAAATCATTTGAAATCGCCAATTTGCCCAATGTCTATTTTTGCTCAATCTCTTTTCGAATAATTTGTAGTGCATGCTCAATGACATATTTTACTAAATATATAATAAGAAACTTACCATTGCGGATGAGAGAGTGTGGCACTGTAAAATGCGTTTATCAAAAATTAACTTATGGAAGACACCAGCTTACTACAGGGTTGTCTCTAACACAAGCACATCGAATACAATGTATATGCTATGGACCTATGCCCTATAGTCCTATATCATTTGCGCAGAACCCTGCCAATTAAGGCCTTAGAAACTATCCTCATTATATCTACTGCCATACGTTTTTCCAGGATCATTAGTAAAATCAGACGAACGTTAATATAATAGCTTTAATCACCAACTCCATTTACAAAGTCCGCGTAAGAGGTAACTTTATATCGGTATCATCTAAACGTAACCATTATTACAACCATACTTATGTAATCTTATAATTCAAGTAAAAGTAATTAACTACAACTTCTGCACGATTATGTTTTTGGAATTGTATAATATTTGGCTTTGAACTGTTTGGTTGCAAATTACTAATTAGTTACTGCCTTCAATGCAGAGACACAACTGCTCCTCTTTTAAGGGGCGCATTTATTAATGGAACGGAAAATTTTGGAGTTACTTTGTTACTTTTTCAAACATCTGACCAATATTTTTTGTATTTAGACTTCACATTCTTAATTTACAGGCATCAATTTCTTACTATTATTATTATCGATTCGATGGTTATATTTGTCAATTTTATTAGTTTGAATAGATTAGAATTGAGCTTTTCCAATGATCTTAAAGCTGACATAAGAAACTCCATTCCCGAGACACTGAAGAAAAAATTAAACGTCAATGTGTAATTTAAAATTCGAGTTATCCTAAGTTGGATTAGGCACTTTCAAACATTTCTTCGAACAATAAGCCTCGCGAGAACTCCTAGAGACAGTGCTTTCACCCTCACCACCCAGCACTTTGAACTTTATTTTATGGTGGAAGTGGGATTTCCTTAAATACCTCAGACAACGAGTAAACTGGGCTCCTACTGCTGCTAGTGTTTCGCGAAAAGCGTGTTTATCTGTTTACGCTAAATTACGGGCAGTCGCAGTAATCTGTTTTGTTGAAGACATTTTCGACATTTTTATAATAAATGTGTGCAGAAGCAAGTTGCTTGAGAAGTTTAACGCGCGTTCTCCGATTACGGATAAAATTTTGTCGAGTTCAAAAAGAAAGCAGTGTAGTACAGTCACGCCTTTTGTTAAGGTTCACTTTTAATTAAAAGTTGAAAGTTTCTACCGTCCGAACAGCCACAGAAAATGTAATGTGTTGCATTACTGAATGGAATGAGTTTCGATAAATATTGATTGATTATTATAATTTATCGTTAGTCCGTAATGTACTTACACTTCTTGAGTAGAACTACTGCTTATGATATTTAGTTAGTTAGTTCTTTTTGCATTCGGTAGCTTATAGCTCTGGCACCTCAACGAAGCAAAAACTTGACGATGAATGTCAACTTTCTTATTTATAAAGATGCTTTTTTCCAATTTTAACCACGACGTTTTACATCATTTAAGCAGCTTTAAAAGAAAAAAAAAAATTTGCATCTGTATGTACGGGCGTACGTTGGCAATTTTTCATAGTAACGGCTCGACGCATTCGATTCAAATTTTGGATATGGATACGAAAACGAAAAGTGACGGGCCAGATTTTTGAAAGCGACCTACAATTTTTATTAGGGTATTGGAAAGACCTTATTTTTCTGTGTACAGCCTACAAAAATTGTGCCAGGTTTTATTACAAAAAAACTGAAAAAAAATGAATAATCGTTTAAGATATAACATCCAAATTACACTGAAATCTGTAAGAGCTCAACAAAAATTTTCCTTTGAAAATTTGAGCAATTTAGTGTTTACTAATCAAACGGCACATACGGCAAATTAATGCCAGTGTATATTATGTTTAATGGATGTATGGCTGTCATAAAAGTTTTTTTTCTGTTAAATATTTGCTTTGAGCTAGGAAGCTGCTCTGTCAAGAATTTGGCAACTAATTTTTCAACGCAGGCAACGGTTCTAAAAATGCATAGAGGCCGGTCAAAAAATAGGTAATGTCAAAATTACTTATCTGGAAAATTTCAGTATAATTTTACAGAAAATGAATATCAAAAAATAATTTAAAGGAAAGTTAGTGTGTGCTGGAAAATGCACCGAAATTAATTGAGTACAAAATTGTTAGATAAACAGGAGTCATCGTTCACTCAGACCAATACCTAACTAAAGTTTTTGCTGACAAAGCAAACAATTCAGTGTACTTACAAATCTACCAACCACGCTAATTATTTTTATTAAAGAAGCTCTTAGACTCAATTACATTACAAGTAGAACCATCTTTCCCTCTTTAGACTTTAAAATTTTCAAAGCGTGTAAATAAGAAAATATACGTATTATTAAACCTGAATATTGATACAAGTAAAATAGTTGATTTTTTTAAAGAAAAAAACCTAGTTTGTCATTTTAAATCAACCATTTTATCATTCAACAAACTAACAAAATGGAGACCTTCATTCAACGAATTGATACAAGTATACATGTAAAAATATTCTATAAATAAAATGGAATATCATTACTATTTCATAACATTTCAAGTGCACGTTGCAGTAAATGTGCTAATTGAGAGTAAGAATAATACCAGTTAAAGGTAATCGGTATATTAATAGAAATTCTTGTTTTATTTAATTTTTCGTTATTTAATCGACAAGTTTTCTTTATTTTAAATAGTTGCTTTACTCAATATTGTTGTGTCTAATTAACCGAAGAAAAAGTTGAAATTATTACAATTCCCTAATCAGAAAAGAAAGTATATTAAAAGGAATGGCCCAAAGAGTAAGTACTCCCTCGTAATTCGATTTAAGATAAAAAAGACTTACCTAAAATCTTCACAACTTCACCAACGAAACAAATTCATATAAATGTATTCGATGGAATAGACGAACTGAAGGATTTTCATCGAGTGAGGAAATTGTCGGGGTAATAATTTCATAGTTGCGAAAGTCCCGGCGATCGGTTGCACGGGGGAGTGAGAAAACCGATTTGGAAAGGTGGTGGGAAATTTATCTCACGCTCAGTGCAATGTGAATTTTATACCCTTGAATTATACGTTTAGTAAATCTGTAAATAGACCCAAACAATACACCTACCCGTGTTTCGTTTGCTCTCAACCGCGTGGGCTAGTTATGGCTAAATTTATTCTTTTGCAAAACTAGAAAATCAAAGTGAAATTTTATAGTGGCTTTAATATCTTTTACTCTTGTAGACTTTTTCAATTTCAAAATATTAACTTTAGGGCTGCCTAATATAGGATGTCGTATGTTAGTGGCTTTAATCGCACTGCTAGAAGGGTTTTTCCTACTAGTGGAAGTAATACCTACATGCTGACATATGGACCCTAGTCTCGATAATTCTGTTTTTTATCAATCAGAATATAAGCCAGTTGCTTTGAGGAAGGCAAATTTCGCTAAAAATTTTATATTCAAAGCTTTAACCCAAGCAACCACACAAATAGAACCGAGAATAGAACTTACTGAACAAACAAACTCAATAAATACAAGTAACGCGACATACACTACAATGACAAATTCACCAGGTAAAGTTACACGTCCTAGCTCAGCTAAAAAACACCAAACTCTTTCTTCTCAGAAACACACCACGTTATCACAACCCACTCGTATTCAACCCAAACGCAAAACCAAACAAACACATACCAAACATCAATGTTTTTTAAATCATCTTGCAAATACATACAGTCATTAATTTTATTGATTGTTCGAAACACTTTCATGTCGTCAGCATACAATAGCACATTTGAGATAATATTCGCACGAATATCATTGACAGAAAGTAAGAATAGCAATGGTCCAAGATTCGAACCTTGCGGAACCCCACTGGTTGCTGTATAACTTAGAGAACCAAAACCATTGTACACTACTGTCAATTCACGATTTTGCAAATAAGATCTAATAACTGATGCACTCACATTATCATGAACACCTAGATCTGTCAGTTTGCTGATTAGGATTGTGTGACTCATTCGATCAAATGCTTTAGATTTTAGTGAAGTCGGTGTAGTTGTAGAATCAATTTGATTTTGATATTCCAGATTTTCTGTCTCTCAATGATTAATGTTAATTTTATTAGCTTGGTAAGAGATTTATGTTACACCTTTTAATTATGATTATATTTGGAAGGGTGCTAGATCGCCTAACCAGGCGAACCCTTGTCCATTTGTAAGATTCTTGCTTACAATAAACTTTATTATTATTAGTATTATTATTATTTTCAGCAATATATTGGGTAATATTAAATAAATTACTTGAAGTGGACATATTTTCAATATTATTTTATTCTTCACATCAAACATAATAATTTCACTAATTATTGATTCAACAATTTTGAAAAAGTTGCTTACAATTGAAATAGGCCTGTAGTTAGCGATATCATTCTTATCACCTTTTTTATGAACTGGACAGATTCTCACTTTCTTCCAAACATAAGGGAAAATCACGGTATAAGCAAAATAATGTTAAATATGTAAGTTAAAGGTTTGTACAAAATAATTGCACAGTCCTTTAGTATATACGCAGGGATATTATCCATGCCCATTGTTCATTTAGTTTTAAATCACTTGACGTGTTTGTGAACTATAATATCAGAGAGGAGTTAGGTCACCAAGCTTGGGCGATCGTGGATTAGATCCGTCCGAAGACTCTTCAGACAAGGAAGGTTCACCGAAATGCTTTGCAAATCCATTGACTATATCATTCGGACTGCTTATTTCAGTTCCCTCCAGTTGCATGGCGGCAGGTATGCGAGAGGCCCCTTTAAGGGCATTTAGTGTACCTACTCCAGAAGCGATTAGATAGAATTCTGTGCAATTTGATTTTTTGACATTTTGAACAACTATCACGATTAAACCAGATCGGGTAGGTAGGTACTTCAATTTACAAACTGGGATTTAGGAACATGCAAATTGAAGCACCCGTAGATTAAATTATACATTGCGTGACAGCATCCTCCACTATCTACACATCTATTATACAGAATCCCAATTTATTTCGAGACTTTTTTTCATTTTGAAGAATAAAAGAAATATACGCTTGGAAACGCACATTCAATCACACTGTATCCAGTTGAGTCAAGTAGATAAGTGTGTGTGATAACTAAGTATTAATAATAAAGAATAAAGTACGACTGGACTGGCCATCCAATAGTCCAACTATAAGTAGGTATCTACCTACATTCATTATAATGTTTTAAGTCCTTTTTGCCCAATTCGTACTTTTTCGATCAGACTTCTCAATCAAAAGTTATAGACTAGAAACCTATTTCGAAAGAAAATTCAAAGGGCTGTAACTTTTGAATTAGTAGCCCAATCTTGGAACTGTTTGAAATTATGGATTCTACAGGCCACATTCTATAAGAAAATTTTTTTTCCGGGTCGATCTGAGACAATTTTTTTTCGGGCCTCAAAAAAATGCATAGTATAACCTTCCTTTTTTGCCAAAAATCGGCTGCCCCAAAATTTCCCGGGAAAACACTTTTTCCTATTAATTTTGGTGCGTAGAATCCAAAACAATTCGTACTTTTTCGATCAGACTTCTCAATCAAAAGTTATAGACTAGAAACCAATTTCGAAAGAAAATTCAAGGGGCTGTAACTTTTGAACTAGTAACCCTGCTGTCTTGGAACTGTTTGAAATTATGGATTCTACAGGCCACATTCTATATTCACACGGACTTCTGCCGTCTCAGTACCTCCCAAAACGGAGCGATTTGGCAGGCCCAGCATTTCTTTAACAGCCTTCCCACTGCGACCAGGGAATTATGCACCTCAAAGTTCAAATCTGTGATCAAGACTTTTTTACTGGAAAATGCGTTTTATTCGTTTGATGAATTTTCAGCAGCATCAAAAGGATGCATTGCATAGACTATTAGATTTAATCTGTGATATTGTTTATTGTTTATATACACTGTGTACCTAGTTACTTTTATATGTATTTTTTACTTCTAATGTTGACCAATGTAAGTGCATGGCACATAAACAGGGCTAAATATATTATTATTATTTATTATTATTATAAGAAAATTTTTTTTCTGGGTCGATCTGAGACAATCTTTTTCGGGCCTCAAAAAAGATAGTGTATATATAACCTTCCTTTTTTACCAATAATCGACTGCACCAAAATTTCTCGGGAGAACACTTTTTCGTATTAATTTTGGTGCGTAGAATCCAAAACAATTCGTACTTTTTCGATCAGACTTCTCAATCAAAGGTTATAGACTAGAAACCAATTTCGAAAGAAAATTCA